CCTGGTATAAGGTCTCCTCTTTGAGCAGGTGGTTGGACTAGAAAATCTCTAAGGTCCCTTCCAACTCTATTAATCTGTATTCTGTAAGTGCATCCAAATATTTATACATTACTGAAATGTATTCAGTATGTTTAAATTGCAGCCTCAAGTACTTCCATGTATTTAGTAAAACCTCCTTAACTTGCTGTCCCAATTATTCGTAATGTCTGCTTGATTTTGCTGTGATTTATAGGACTTAAGAAATCAGAACTCTGACCATTTCAGACATTCAGATCAGTTGATAAACTTCTTGCCAGGACTATTAAACGCAGAATTTTCCCTTCATGCGATGGGGCTTACATTCTGAAAACAAAGCTGCTCCACATTAAATTGAAGGATTAAAAAAAAAAATCTCCTTACAACTGAGCTTTGGTAAGTGTTCACTGTTCCTGAGATAAGGCATTCCTCTGCGGTCATATTGGACTTCTTTTCAGAAACTCTTTCAATTCTCATAGCCGTGCAATGTTTTTGTGGCAGATACCATTACAAACGAGGTAAGCCAAAGATATTTTTGAGTTATTCTTAAATGATGCAACCTTTGCTCTTTAAAAAAAAAAAAAAACTTAGTGTGGGAATGTTGCTGGTTTTGTAATGTGGCAAGTATCAGATTGAGTATGTTTGGGTACAAACATTAAGATATTGTAAGCCTGTAATTCTGCAGTGAAACAGAAGATATCTCTACTTAAATTGCAGTGATTTATATAAAAACAAGGTCATTGTATTTTGCATTACATAATCATCGTAAAAGCAAGGTACAGCCTTTTCAAAACCAATTCATAAGATTTATTTTGGCAGCCAAGTAAAATGATGCTTGCATAGACAAATGTAACTAGAAAATTAAAATGCAAGGTATGAGACACTATTGGTAACAACTGTATTTAATAGTCTGGAGGTAACTGACTATTCTATAGAGGTGTAGTTCTGTATATTGAACAGAATTCTTGATTTTGGGAATGTAATTCCAAATAACTCTACAATAAGACAATTGTCTTCATCATCTTATCTCTGATTTTACTAAAGTGTTTCTTGCCAGTCCTTTAAAACAGTTTTCTATCTAGCTTATGAAATATTTAGAATACACTTTTATATAAAGTATCAAGTGAATAATACAAAGAACAATTCCAATATTCGTTTACCTCCAATAGGCCTTAAAATACCTTTTCTTTACTTAAATCTTGCAAAGTTTCTCACATCAGACTTAGAAACACGGATGGCCTGGGCCAATACACCTTATCTATTGAAAAACTTTTTTAAGTGGGCTAATCATGGTGGCCAATCATTTAAAAATGTATACTATTCTCCTAAATGAAGAGTAAGTTCATATGCTTAATATATACATATCCTCAGGCATATTTGGCTGGTTAGCTACATCTTAAGGATAGCTATCTATCAACAAATAGTGCCCTTAGGTCATGAAAACAAAATGACTCTTACATTCCAGTTCATAAATGTCACGTATGCTGCTGGTGTTGCTTCAGCTGTCCAATCAGATATAAAACTTTCTTCGGCAGGAAAAAGCTAAGTCCTCAAGAATTATCTTTTTTGTGAGGGAGACATTGCCTTTTTTAACCACCTAGAGAACTGCTATTAAAACCTAACCATAATCCCAGAACATATTGTAACAATATTTTTATGTGCAGCGTACACACTTATACACTTTCTCAATGTGTGCCCTTTCCCCTTATTGAATGTGCTTTTAGCACCTGGAATACATCAGGTTGGGAATGGATGAATTGGTGCAAACAGTGCAGCTTTTAAAGTCCAGGTTATTCCTGCTATGTGTAGGATACTGACTAAGAGACAGAGATGGCATGCAGGAATGAATCTGATAAGACCCTTCACTCCCTTAGCCACTATTTTAGCCAGATCACAGTCCACATAATCATTTCAAGATGAAAGCTAAGAGGCTGACATATACAATAAGAGGAAACAGCTCCCATTGCTGACTGGTTTGGAGCATCAGCAGGAAGCATTTTGCTCATGTGTTCCTTCCTTCTCCTCCCCCCCCTTTCCCTCATCTCAATGTTTTGTTATTCATTTGATTGCAACAAACTTTGCTACTGAGGTGGCAAACTAGATTGAACAAACCTAATGAGAATTGCCAATCCCAGCTTGATCAGAGTTTGGCCTCATCTGGAAAGTTCTTTTTCTCACCACAATATGCAGGCTACAATATGGTGCAAACTATTATTTTCATAAATCTCAAGTGTTCTTATAAAGCAAACATGAAAGCAGGAAAGAGAAAACATGGACACAGACATAATAGAAAAACAGAATAACATTTCTGATTCATAAACTGGAGAATCATAAGAATCATGATAATATCTGAATACAGCCTATCTATCCACCCTGTGATGGAAAAAAAATATGTACTGGAGTCCCTGTACTGTATATTGTATTTGAATAGAGGTTGAGGTTCATGCTCAGGGTCTAAAAACTAATATTGCAAACTGCTCCTATTTAGATGTAGCTCATGTTGGATTGTGATAGCTACAGTAAATATTTTGGAAGTCTGCACATATAAATACAATTAATGTTTTATACCCTTTCAAAAATATAATTAGCATCCTAAAAATTCCAAGATGTCTATCATTGTATAATTAGCCAATATCTGGAATTTAAATGGAGTGCATTTGTTTTTGTTTTGATAATTAAAAGGATCCATGGTCTGCTGATCATAGAAATCCTACCCAAAGCAAAAGTAGGTCACAAACACAGTCAATAGTAGTTAAGAATAGCAACAAGTCAGTTCCCATGTCTTCAAATGGGATTTATAATTTAATTAGAGAAGATTATACTTAATGTAATCCACAAGTCAGATGCTGGTACAGCCTATCATAAAAGAAGCTTTCTAAAATAATCTTTATGTCTGAGTTAACTAACAATCTATGTATAGTAATTTAGAACCGCATAGAATACAAGAGGCATTACCCCTAGGTAAATGTATATAAAATTGCACCTTATAAAACTGCAATTGTATGCACACTTACTAGAAGTAAATACCATATCACTCAGTGGAATTTACTTTTGAATGGTCATGTGGGGGATCATGCAAGGATTATGTTCTAATTTGTTTAGATCTACATTTCCAAAGTGGCATTTATTCTTTGTTGGATATGCAGTTCTTATGAAGATGTTCAGAAAGAGGATACGTTCTTCCATGGTCCAATCTACAATTTGTCTTCGGAAATTTCAAGGAAAAAAATCTAAAAATATAGCAACCCTATAGATGGACATCAGTTACACAATTATTATGATGGTTTCATTGTATGGCAATGCTATGATTAAAAACGTAAAAAAAAATATTCGTAGCAACGAATGAGTTTTAGTACATACCTGCATTCATATACTCGCAAACTTCAATTCTGTTTTTTCCTTTATTGCTATTCATTGGAGTATGACATTCAAATGCCACCAACTTAAGGGATCTTACTTTCATACATATGACCATACATATTTTAGCCTTTTCACTCATAATTCAACTTTTGCAATCATAAATTCCATAAGGCTGTCTTCTTTCACATCTGTTGTTTCCCTTTCTCTTTGTTATATCACCCTTTCCTTTCCTTTCCTTTCCTTTCCTTTCCTTTCCTTTCCTTTCCTCTCCTTTCCTCTCCTTTCCCTCTCCCTTGCTGTGTCCCCCCTCTCCCTTTTCCAAGTCAACCTAAGCCATTCCTTCATGAACTTCAATATTTATTCCACTTACACAGAAGTCACAATCATCCATAACAACATAATGGTTGTCACCGTAGTCTGTGACTTTTTGCTGCCCATCATGGCTTTGGTCAGTCAAGATTTTCACATAATACTTCCTAATAGTACAGATAGAATGTAAATTGGGTAATCAGCCATACCTATGGCAAATGCAGCATTTCCAAGTATCAGCAAGGACACTACCAATCCATTTTGGCATATTTTTGTCAGTATGTGATACGTGCCAAGTTTTGCTCCAAACATACCATGTTAATATATGCATGTTGGGATCCTTAGAGGTTACCAAGAAAATCAGTGTATTGTTGCCTGCATGCCTGCATTACACCAACTGGTCTCCTGAGACACATTCAGGGTACGTCATAAGATGGTTATATATATTCTTCTTTGCACAGGATAGCCCCCTGATTGAATATACCCTAAATTTTAGGGAGGGAGAATCTTTTGCCTTCTGAATTTTGTTGGACTCCAACTTTCATCAATCTCAGTGGACAGGAAGTTGCAGGCTGATAATATTTGAAGAGCTACAGTTTCAAATGTTAAACAGTCCAGTTTATCTTTAAAGACCCTAAAGGGATCAAGAAAGCAAAGCACTTGATGTGCCCCATCAGCATCTTGCACCTTGACAATAGATGGAACAGATATGGCTACTTGGCCATAGTCATTCTCACAAGGTGAGATAAGTGTATTTCTATTTCAATTATAGCAAATATCTCCAAATGTATAACTGTACCTGTAAAATATTATTGCAAAATATATGCAATATTTTGTACTTCTCTCCCCTTTTTGGCTGATCTGTAAGTGGTCTTCTTAGCGCATAATGAAAACTATAACATAAAAGTAGATTAACCTATTAACCAGTTGATTATTCTGCAATCTGGTGCTCCCACCCTCCATACCACTCTGAAGTAAACTGAGGGTGAAGGTGATCCATCTGAGACACAGGTGGGTCATCTGACAGATGGGGAAAAAATCCTACCCCAAACATAGCATAAACTATTTTACAATTCATGGGGCAGAAAAAAGATCAAGAGTAAGTCACTTCTGGAACCCTGTAGTTTTGTGACTGGGTCCAGATACAACAGATTTAAAAAATTCAATTCAGCAGCTTCATGCCCACATCTGCTAATCAATTCATTTATTTTTAGGATTCAGAGACTTATGTGAGAAGATAATAGCAACATATTTTTGGTCTCCAGACATCAAATGATTTTTGGTCTTCATATTTGCGATGCTCTCACTGCCTCAGAATGAGTTTCTTCAGACAGGTTAGACTTCTTCTATGGAAAAACTGGATACTCCGAAAACGGCAAAAAGTAAGCCCTTAATACATATCTACAAAAGATAAAACAGATATGTATGCTTCAAATTCTTTTAGAGAAAGAGAATTAGATTTAAATACCCTTTATACAGGTAGTCCTTGACTTACAGCAGTTCACTTAGTAACCATTTGAAGTTACAATGGCACTGAAAAAAGTGACATGACCATTCTCCGCACTTATGACCGTTCAGTATCCCGGGGTCATGTGATCACCTTCTGCGGCCTGACAAGAAAAGTCAATGGGGAAACCAGATTCACTTCATAATAGTGTTACTAATTTAACAACTGCAGTGATCCACTTAACAAATGTGTGGAAAAAGTTATAAAATGGGCCAAAACTAACTTAACAAATTTCTCACTTAGCAACATAAACGTCTGGCTCAATTTTGGTCGTAAGTTGAGGATTCCCTGTATTACATACATTTTAAAGGTAAAATGGGATGTGCTTTTGTGATTAGTCTGTCCTGATCATATATTTTAATTTGAAGTTTAGAATGGTTTAGATGTATTAAATTAATGGCCTTGCCTAGAAAGAAGACTGAATCTACCCAACTTCAATGCATCAGTGTAGAAAATTCTAGAGAGATTCATTTCCTCTTATTGCCCTGTTGTATACTGACTCTAATAGAACACAGGGCTGGAAGATAAAAATAGCCAGTGGACTTTTCCTACAGGAAGCAACTGTCCAAAGATTTAAATCTTTTCATCTGCTGTGGTTCTTCAAAGAGCAGGAGTTTGTTATGCAAGTGTCTCTAGTCCAAAGCACACTATATCGTTTGAAGGCTATAGATTAAACCATAGGATTTGAGTGAATAGGTAAATGGTCCAGATTGGTAATTAAACTTATCTTGAAATTGACAAAGTCTTTGGATATTTGGATATTTTCAATGTACTGTACATTTCATACTTTACAGAAGTGCATTAACAGTGGTTTATTGTACTTTTACTGGGTTGAAGGGAAGAGAAAAGTGGCTTGGGAGAAGGGAAAGAATTCGTATCTTTTGGACTAAATGACAAAATATTATTTTTGATTGATTGATCGATTGATTTAAAGCATTTATATAGCTGCCCATCTTCCAACTAACTCCAGATTTGCAGTTCTGATTCTAATTTTTCAAATTTTTCTCTTAATAATATACTGTATATTGTTGTCTTTTCTGTTTGTTTGTTTTTTTGCCATGTATGTTATAGCTATACCTCTACAGCTTTGGCTGTATCCCATATGTTTTGTAATGTTGTGTTCTTTTTTGTTTTCTTTGAAGAAAAACTCCATTTCTTTTTTTTCTAGTTCTATACATTCTCTTTCTTTTAATATAGATTGATTCAAAGTCCATCTTGATTTTTTTGGTATTCCTCTCCATGTCACTTTTAAGGGGTTGTGATCTGCCCATGTGCCTGGTTCTATCTCAATCTCCTGCATTCTTGTCCTCAATTCAGAAGGTCACGTTCTTGCAAGGCTTCTGGAGCCTCTGCAAATCGTGCAAAAACAGGCCGTGCTTTCACATGGTTTTTGGAGGCTGCAGAGGTTGCAGAAGAGCATTCTCTGAAGTCACTTCAAGAACGAAGGCCTCAGGCAATCCAGAACAGCCTTAGGTAGGCCTCAGAGGCCGGTCAACAGAAAGAGAACACCTCCTGAAGATAAGCAGTGCACGACAGATCCTGGGGAATGCTGGGCCATGAGGGCAATGGCACCATTCTCCATAGCTCGTGTTCTTTGGGGAATGGCGGGAGGTGTCCTTTTTGAGTGGCAGCGGTGGCAGTAGGACCGAAGTTGAGGCTCAGGCTTCTACTTCAGGCCCAGCCTTGCCACTGCCCCTGAGTGCCACTGTTCTCCCTAAATTGGGGGTGGGGGGAGAGATACAATGGTCAAGTTAGGCATTTTCCAAATTTTTGACATGCCACGCCCCAGGGGTTCACCATCACTCTCCTACATGTATATATTTGGAAATATTTTTTTACTAAGTATGTAGAATTTTAGCACTGAAAACATGAAAGCTTACATGATTGCTACTGTGAAAACAGTCCAAAATAAAACACCAAATAAGACACTTAAAATGCCAGACAATATTTGATTTTAAGGCTATGATTTCCAGATGGAGAACATGAGAACAAAAAGCTGGACATGTCCTCCTTTTGTTGGATGATCTAAACCTAAGTCAGATGGAATGAAAGCCATTTCTCAAACAGTGTATGGAATTGATGCATGTAATTGTGTTTCTTTTTTCCAGCTACGTCTGCTGGTTGAACTTCTATGGCCTGTTTCTTTATTTCTTGTGCTGGTATGGCTGAGGAAAGTTACTCCAGTCTACCACAAACATGAATGTAAGAGTGTGTTATTTATATTCATTTTTTTAAAGGAAGGATAGGCTCCTGTCTGGTGAAATTTAAATCAAATCAAAAGTAACTGGGTATCCAGAAGATATTAGGTTTCTACTTTGCTGGTTGAATAGAATCTGGTACTTTCACGTAAGAAAGAAGTAGGAGATCAAAGCTTCTGCTAGTCTCAATCTCAAATTTAAATTTGAGGGGGGAGGGAAATCAAGGGTTGACCAGCCTTTGACTCTCCAGATGGAAAAAGGATAGGAGATGACATCATCCAGAAAGCATTTCCATGCTTGATTTGTTGCTGCTTTGGGAATTCATGACGATGCTAACATAATGATATTCCCAATTTAGGTCATACTTTATTTCCAGTCTTAACCTGGCTATGCCATGGTTCACACCTCACTTCTTCACAAGTCCATTTGAAACTTACTTTAACTTCTGTTTTCCTCACAATGCAGAGAACAAGATACATAAAACTAGCATCTCAATCTCTGTTCTTTCTTCAGCTGATAAACAGAGGAGTGCAAAAACTATATTGCTCCAGAAATGTCCTCCACCAGCTGCTTTAGGTTATGGAAACCCCAAAAATCATCCCACCCACCACCAGTCCCCTATTAGATGTATGTGCATGCCCTTGTGTTTCCAATACACACTGAAGAAATAAAACAATACTTTTAGCTGAAAAAGCAGCAGTTACAAAGAAATGGCTGGAAAAACATTAGGCTACTATTCTTCTGTTGCAGTTAAACCCAGCCTCCCTCGCAGGCTTGTTATGGAGATAAAATGATTAAAATAAAATAACTGAGATCCAGTGTAAGGGACATCTGGGTACTAGTCCACCCTCATAGGATAACTTTGGAACAGCCCAATCTATTTCACATATTTGTTGTGAGGAAAAATTGGAGGAAGCACCATATATACCCTTTTGAGCTCAGCATGTAAATCCAATAAAATAAAGATGATAGGGTACATTCATGTACGTACAGTCAAGCATTCTTATTATAGTAAAAAAAAATACAAGAAATAAAACCACTTGCTCAGCAGTGATGATGAAATGAAAGCAGGTTAGAATTTTTGCATCAAACAGACTTTTCTCAGTGCAAGTATCCATGGTTACATAGTTACATACATCAGTTGGAGTGGAGACGAGTGAATGATATAGTCTAGAATTGACTATGTTACCACATCATAGTTTGGTAATGAAACATCTGCAACAAAACAACCATGCTCAGAGAGCACCAAGGATCCCACATGATACAGTCTAAAGAGTTTACAAATTAGAATTATCATAGCTGAACTGCAAAACTCTGAATGATTACCAGAGTACAATAAAGAATTTATATATCTCTTTGATGCCGTCTAGTGGTGTCCTGATTTATTTATTTTTTGCAGCTCCAATACAGGTAGTCCTTGACTTACAGCCATTTATTTAGTGACTGTTTGAAGTTACAATGGCACAGAAAAAAGTGACTTAGGACTGTTTTTCACACTTATGACCCTAGCAGCATCCCCATAGTCATGTGATCAAAATTCAGATGCTTGGCAATAGCGTCATATTTAGGACGGTTGTAATATTCCAGGTCCTGTGATCAAGTTTTGTCACCTTTTGACAAACAAAATCGATGGGGAAGCCAGATTCACTTAACAGACTTCTTACTAAATTAACAACTGCAGTGATTCATTTAACAACTGTGGCAAGGAAAGTCATAAAATGGGACAAATCTCGCTTAGCAACAGAAATTTTGGACTCAGTTGGTGATTGTAAGTCGGGGTCTACCTGAATGAGAGAGAGAGCCACTATGCACACACAGGATGTTGAAGTTTACATGGGGTACCGGTGAATGGATGTGAGAAATCTTGTCCTGAAAAAACATTCAGCATCTATTCAACAGCATCTACACTCATCCCCATCTGGGGATTTGCTTGCTCTTCTAAGAGGGAAAGTCAAAACTCTAGCCCCATCCAAAAGCTGAGCCATTTCTACCCACCTGAGCGTATGGAAGCAATTTTGCATACTAGTTATTGGCAGTTCAGTCCCTTCAATCCAGGACAGGGGTAGGCAACCTTGGCTCTTTTATGACTCGTGGACTTCAACTCCCAGAATTCCTGAGTCAGCATGGCTCAGCTTGGAAACCTCTCCCTTTCCCCTCAGCATGGCTGGCTCAGGAATTCTGGGAGTTGAAGTCCATGAGTCATAAAAGAGCCAAGGTTGCCTACCCCTGATCCAGGACATAGCATATAAGCGTTGCTTGAGCAGGGTCTGCAGTATTGTGTGGGACACTACACATCCTCTTCATGACCTGTTTTCCTTCTTACCTTCTGGGAGGAGGCTCCATGGTATCCGAAGCAGAACATCCGGATTCAGTCACAGTTTTGTTCCATACAGTATCAACCTTGTGAACTCTAAAGCTTCCTCCTTCTGTTATGTATTCAAGATGGACAGTGATTAATGTTTATATGTATTTATATGTAAGGGTGTAGGTCTATACATATGTATATATAACATGTCTATATGTGTGTTGTGTATGTGTACCCTTTTGAGAGCAGGCAACAAAATTTCATTTTTAATGTGTGCCAGTGTGCCCACAGTAAAATATGACAATAAAGGTTATCTTATCTTCATAACTGAAAAGTTAAGCCACGGATATCTAAATTTAAGTTTGAGTTTAAGTCAAATTAAATGTTTTTATATTTTATCCCCCCTCCCAAAGCAAAAATGGTTTGTATAAATAAAATATTTTCACTTCAAGTGGCTTTGATTATCAATGCTAATTTTTCATTTCATGTCTTTGCTTCTTACATGAAGGTCACTTTCCAAATAAAGCTATGCCTTCTGCAGGAACTCTGCCATGGTTACAGGGCATCTTTTGTAACGTGAACAACCCATGTTTCAAAAGCCCCACCCGTGGAGAATCTCCAGGTGTTGTCTCCAACTATAATAATTCCATGTAAGTAAGTAAAGGAGGAGAAAAGCTTCACATGTGGCAGACTTTGATATTTTAAATATTAAGTACCATAACTCAATTTTGTGAGCCACAAGAATTAGTGAATAAAGATAAAGATAGACCTTACAGGCATTTTAGTTTTAATTATTTAATTCTTTTTCAGATGGAAGTCTGACATCCATATAAGATATGTCCTTCATCTAAATATTATTTAAATATATAATATCCAATATTATTTCTCTGTTCATGTATTTCCCAACTTTAGGATTTCCACTTCATCCATTTCAATGTATTAATTTTTGGTTTTTTTTTTACCATTTACAATGAAATTATCCACTTGTTTTCTACTAAACCTTCTCTTCATCTCACTGTCATCCTTATTAACAAATGCATCAAACAACAACCTAAATTAAGGAACCATCACTTACACTCCCACCAACACTGACAAGACAAGCCACCATATATAAACAGAGAGCAAACTGGCAGAGGGAGATGAGTGGTTTAGAAATATGACATATAAATAAATAGGAATTATCAATGAGTTCCAAAAAGCAAATATGGAAAAGAAACAAATTTTACCCTCTTAGTCTTATTCTCTGCAGACTGAGAAAGGCTGATTTCTAGAAGATAGCCAAGGGGAATAGCCTTAAGCAACTTTTACTTCTCTACCAATGTCCATTTCAGTTTAGCAAGAGTATATCAAGATGCTCAAGAGGTATTGCTTGAAATCAATGAAAGAGACTTGCGTGTATTCTGGGAAGAACTACGAACCATGACCCAGTTTATGGAAGCAATGAGGACCAATCCTGAAAAGGTTACAGGTAACTATCGATTCTGTTCTCTTTTATTTCCCTTCCCAAATACCATGAGTTACATTAAACTGGAGAGCAAAACTTTCTTGAGAACTAGCATCACACTGGGTATGTTGACTGCTGGCAACAAAACAAATGGATCCATATTAAAAGGGAAAAAAGAAAATACTTTAAATATCTCCAACATTCAAATAACTCATGGTTTCTCTAATTAAATGTGGCCTGCTTAAAACCAAACTTCCCCTTCGCTGAGGCTGCCTACAACCACTGTCTCTTCTAGGTTAAGAGACAAAGGGAATCAAAAGCTAAAGAACAGGGCTTGGTCTCAGAATTAAGTGGTACTTTCCACAATGTCAATTTTAATCATGGGGAAACACGGGAATATAAGAATAAGAATTGATTGGTCCACAGTATTTAATTTATGATAGCAATCATTCACCATTGCCACTGGCAAATGATGAAAATGAATGGATTCTTACCAGTCATCACCTTCTATGTGAGTTTAAGGATATTTCTTTTCTCCCTGTGATTAAGCACTGCAGTGTTTTGAATTGTGGTAAGTTATTCAAAGGAACAAACATAGGGAAACTTCAAATAATTAAGCCACAGCAGGCACACATCCACTTGATTAATGAGAGATCTACTTTATTTAGCATAATGATTAATCCAGCTTTGGTCATGAGAAACTAATTGGAAGGATTCAGGGCTCCCCACAAGGCAGGATCTAAAGTGACTGCAACTTTCTTTGGGTAAATAAACTGGAGAAAGAGATTCCAAAACTATTTATTCTTAAGTGGCTGAAACCCACCCACACTGGCCTGGTAACCAGTAACAACAAAACACTTGAGCTTTGAAGTTCACAGCATCAGGCCTTTGAAAATTTTGGGTCATCCTTTGAAATCCTGGGTCTGCATCTTTTCAGCATGCCAACTCTTTTCAGTGTGCAGAAAAATAAATAAGTGTGTTCCAAATGCCAAGCCTCTTATGTAATGTGCAATACAACTGTCATTTTGCATTCAGATATTGTTCTTGAAGTCTTCAATGCTGCTTGCTGTTAAATGAAGGCAATTCTTTTTAAAGAGTCTTTCCCAAAACCTCTAGAATGTTCCATTACGGGTAATCTTCAACTTATGACCACAACTGAGCTCCAAATTTTTGTTGCTAAGTGAGACATTGGTTAAATGAATTTTGCCCCATTTTATGACCGTTCTTGCCACAGTTGTTAAGTGAATCTGGCTTTCCCATTGATTTTGCTTGTTAGAAGATGATCACATGACCCTTCTAAGTCCTACACAAAGTTTTTTTGATATGGCATTCCAAAAATACCATACCCCAAAATATTGGATGGCACTTAAAAAATCTGCACATTGACAAAATTTCTATCTGTAAACTACAAAAAGCCCCACAGCCTGGATCCACACATATGCTACACCAATACATTATGGCATCTTAGGTACTTGAAAAGAACTCAATGCATATGAAGGTCAATACCAGCTAAACAACTGACAACTGTGATTTCTTGTTGTTTTATATATATAATGCTGGTGTAGGTTGAATCATTTTTTTTGTATTTATACAGTGTTTTTTAAAATAGAGTTGAAAGATTTTCTCATACACAGTTTCACAGTCCTCGGGACAATTCACAATCCTGTTAGATAGCCCATAAAATCTTCATCTTCATCTTAGCCCATAAAATCTTCATCTTCCATAAAAGTAGGAATGGGCTAAGGAGCAAGTGAATTTGTGTGACTTTGTGGTTTGTTTAAAAGCATTTTGCTGTACTAACACTTAACGGCTTTCTTACCGTTTCTTGACTTAGGAAGAGGAATACGAATCCATGATATCTTAAAAGATGGAGAGAATTTAACCAAGTTCCTGCTTGAAGATGCAGGCCTTCCTGATACCGTGGTCTACCACCTAACTAATGCCGTTGTACGACCTGAACAAGTGAGTTGATGAGATTCTGAAAAACGGGAAGCTTTTGTGTTAGATGGGTTCGGATATTTAAAGCCTTTTTCCATTGTTTGTATCCAACAGCACTTTTGCTAATAAATAGAACTTAAAGCATAATAATAGAAAACAAAATTAGGCAACAAACTAATTAATTGAATACCACCTGCTTTAAGTGAGGAACACAGAGAGAAATTGTTTTAGCCACACCTTTGTTATGAGTTGTTCAGAGCAAATATAACACAGTCATAATCAAAGACAGGATGCTTTGAAACCCTGCTTCAGTCTGTAATTTAGCATCTAGATTTCCTGTCAGTCCTTAGTGATGTTTTGATGGGGAGAAAATTTCTCCTGGGCCAGGGATGATTCTACTCCCACTCTTTTTATTTCTTTTCTTTAATGGATGAAGGTGATGGAAGGCAAAGCAAAGAAATGGGGTTTTCTGCTCATTTCCTCCTATGAGTAAGGAGGTTCTGAGAAGTTTGCTTTCACAGATGCATTGAAGCTATTGGAAACTTTAATGTTTCCATGTTGTTTTGTGGAAATATTTTTCCCACAAAAATTTCTGGTATGCTGCTGTTTTTCACAGAACTTTGAATGCAGCCAGAACCACATCATTCCTTAAATAGAGTGTAGAAGCACTAGGGCAGAAAGAAGCACTCTAACCTCTACCTGCCTATTGACTGTCCATTCTTAGAGGATCATGGTTTGGTCTGCAAAAACTGAAATGAGCTCTAGGGTGGCCGGGGAAAAAAAGATATATAAAACAGTAACTTTGGATCTAATGGTCTTCCGGATTTTTTCAGTCCAGGTTTGTGTCAGTCTTGTGAGGTAGAACGGACAGGAAGCATGCCCAGATGAACTAGTTCTACTTTATTAACAGAATCTTGCAAGTTAGAAGGTACATTTCTTCTAGTCACCTTTACAGACCAGGAAACTCGGGAGGGTCCCTTTTCAGATGTTTGCTATGCCCACATTCCTGCTGTGGGTTAAGTTGTCCCCTATTCAACCATTAACCTGGCTGTGGCTTCCCCTCCCCCCCTGTTTCCCAAGGTCATTCCCACATACCATTACATCATGGCCCAGACCATTCCTTTCTCTTGGAGAACAAAGTTATGTGGGTGTTGAAAGGTCTCATAAACCAATTGTTGGCATTTGGTATGATGGAAGAGCTGACCAGATGGGCAATTGAATGGGAAAGGAGGCACTATCATGTCTTTCAGATCAAGCAGTAAAACGCCTTGAGCTGGCCCTGAATAGGTCCCAAATCTTTTAGTAGGAGAAATGCTAAAATGCACAATCCCTGCTCTTCATGTCAGCAGGGCAGAGGTGAAAGGGCATTGCTGGGGCATTGTCTCAGGTGAATTGATTGGGCCCTTGAAAGATAGATCTCCTGTCTTGAATTCACACCAAATAATAGCTATTTTTTTTTTCTTCTTTTTAATTCTTTTAACTAGAGAATTGCAGCCCCTGGTTATTCTGCACCCATCCTCTCCTCATAGATGACTTGTGTGTGACTCAAGCATTGGCTCTTGGGGGCAGGAGAACTGGGAAAGGAATGTGGTGCAAATAATTGAGGTCTGCTGAAACAGATCTGTGGAACTAAAGCCTTTCTTACTGAGGAGAAGAGAAAGACACTGGCTGAATGGCACAATTCCTCTTTATATATTTTTTTCTTTTTTTGTTGTTATATAATGCTCAGATGTGGGAAATGCGTGTGGTTATTTGCAGCCAGCAGGAGATGGAATTAATGAGCTTGCTTTTCACTCTGATAGTTATTCCCCCCCTCCCCAAATTGTAGATGGTTTATGTGACTTTTGTTAAGACTGTTCAGTTGATTGGATTCTGACTGGTGCTGTAGGAAACTCCCTAGCAGCTCTTTTATTTGTGCAGAAGGGGAAAAAAATGTTCTGTGTAATATGAATGTTAGTAGCAGTTTATGCCAGCCTAAACTGGTCTAGTAAATAACATTCTAAAAAAATAATACAAGTGGGTACATGGCTAAGTCACCTTGAAAAAAATACCCATTTGAGTCCACTGAGGGAGTCCTACTGATAATCTTTAAATATATATTGAAAATCTTTGAAACAGTGATGCATTTAAGACAGTTTCTCTGAAATGCAATCTTCCTCTTATGAAGAATTTAGACTTAGTTATCCTTAAAGAAACCTATTTAAGTGCTGTGCTATGTCAGAATCTGAATAGCGAAGAGCATTCATCAGTTCTTATTAGAATAAAATTCCATATCTGCTATTAATACAGATTATAGATCAGCATAGACAATATTTTCCACAACATTGGCACTGCTACAGAGAAGCAGCACTAAGCAATGCCTTAGCCCTCCAAGCCTTCCCAAAATACAGCTGTTTCTTCCTGGTAGATCCAATAATTGGTTAGGCAAATTCTCATAGGAATAGATGATGCTCATATCAGGATGTGGCTGGACAAAAACTTTTCCCTGTAATTTCTGACTTTGGGTTCTCTGTCGGGTGTCATATGAGAGGGTATTCCTCTTTGTGCATTCTAAAGTATCAAACATATTTGATCTACTGGTTATTTATTCAACTGACTGGCATATACTGAGATTCCATCAGGGAACATGTATGCTTTGCAAATGTCCTTCTGCTTGAAAAATAATATTTTATTACGGTCCGTTGACTCCAAGTGCATGGCTCCTCCACAGAACAGACTTTGCCGTTGTCATGGGATGTTCTGATGCTTCTTTGCCACGGCTAATAATATATCCTGCTTCCTCTTCCAATGTCATTCTAAGGAAACTATGAAAAAGAATGGATCGCCCCAGCAGTGCTGTTTACGAGTGTTTCAGTCTTCTGTAAAGAACGGCACGCAGCTGAAGGGCTGACCTCGTAAGCACCCTGGGAGCGCAGGAAATGACACACACTCACACATAAAAGCTCAACCTAATCTGGAGGCCAGCTAACTGAGAAAATATTTTGTTTCTCCTCTCAAAAGTGTTTGCTGAACAATGGCACACCGATAAAATTACTGGAATTTATTTCCCAACTGCTGCTTTCAGGTTACAAGAGAGATAACGGGGCTGTTTCTGAGTCATAGGGAAAGCTGCAAAGAAAACCAGATGGGTAGTTAAAAAAGAACATTTTTGAATTGGGACTTCATTTAAAATTCTCTGTAGAAATTACATTTAATGACTAGTAATCTCTTTCAGGAAATCAGTATTAATAATCTCTTTCACTGGGTTTTTTTTTTTTAATATTAAATCCTCTATTGGCCCTGGTTCTATGAAGAATGTCCACAGAATAGTATTTAGACTGATGCTTTTGTTCCCAATTTTGTGTCACAATATCTACAGATCACAAAACGAAAGATTCTCAAAATAACCTAGTAATTCTATAACTGCTTGAATACATCTTGATTATTCCAGTATTTTCTTGGCAGCAATATGGATTGTGATTCCTTACTTCTTCTTGGAAGTATTTATACATCCTAGTCCAGTCTACTGCCCCGGAATTTCCGGGCTGTCTCCCATCCAACTGATAAAAAGATCTTTTCCTGGTTGCAACTTTATTTCTTGATAGTAATCTAAAATACTTGCCTGCAAGAGACTGTGGCAGTTACACAGTTACTACTATTTTAGCTTCTGGTGATAATTGCATTAGTTGCTTCCTTTCAAGCCTCTGTTTCTACAGGCAAGAATGTGAAGCTTTATTTTTTTTTTTATCAGAAATGAGAATATTAGGATGTTAATTTCCCTGACCAGTATAATTCTGCCACATATTCTGTATTCTTATAGAAATGTGACATAAGATAGAGTCTTAGTTTCTGATAAGGTTAAAAATGAACATCATTGGACAGGATTCCATTTATCACACTGACTTAAATTGCGTGATGATTTATACCAACTGCTCCCACATAAAGAGGTGAATCTGGGTCAATTACAGCAACAAACTACCAGTTAGGTATTATCTACTTCAATATGAGAGAAAAAGGTGTTCTAAGGTACAGGTATTCTCCAGTTTAACAACATGTTCTGTTCCCAAGTTCTGTCCTTAAGTCAAATTTGTAATAAGCTGAATATTATAGTACTGTGTAATGAACTTGAATCACTATGAATCACTAACTTGATTTTGCTATAATCTGTTCTTAATTATGGGTTGTCCTCCCTCCCTCTCTCTCCCTCTCTCCCTCCCCCCCTCTCTCTACCATATATTCAATTTCTATAACCACCCATCTCAGTCAAAAACTCTGGGCAGCTTACAATTGAAAAAATATATTACAATCAAAATACTAAAACATTTGAAAAGAATAAAAACAACGAAAACATCCAAAATAAATATATATAGCAGCCAAGATATTTGGTCAGGTTCAGGAATATAGACAGGTTTTATGGCCTTATGACAGGCTAACAGGGTTGAGCCATTCTAATCTCGCAAGAGAGGATGTTCCATAGATCAGGGGCCACTGCAGAAAAAGCCCATCTTTGGGTCCCTGCCAGCCAACACTCTTCGGCTGACAGGATCTGCAGCACGGCCAATCTGCTAGATGTGGTTGGACAGACATAGACTCTTGGAAAAAGGCAATCCCTCAGGTAAAAAATTGAACATTGTTTCTTGATTGGACTTCTATCTCCTCTCACCTGCTTGTGCTGCAGTTTGCGACCGTGTACCTGCCAACGCGATCTTCTGATCTTTCCAAGCTCTCTTTTTAGGTATTTTTAAATATTTTGTTAAATTTTTAAAAATGGGAAGCTAGCATGTTGCAAAAGAACACATTGGTCTCCAGTATAACATGGATTTCTAACAATGCCTCTGGGCTCTGCAGGCATTCTTAGATGATAATAAAACAATGGGTGGCTACAATTTGTGTTTTGTCCACAGTTTGCCTTTGGTGTCCCAGACTTGACTTTGAAAGATATAGCTTGCAGCCAGACCTTGCTGAATCGCTTTATTATCTTCCGGAGTCCAAGTGGCTTTCAGGCTGTGCATAGTGCAATGTGTGCCCTTTCCCAGGAAAATTTGCAAAAGGTTGAAGACTCCTTATATGCAAATGTGGACTTCTTTAAGCTTTTCCATTTGGTAAGTTCCAGTCAAAGGCTTATCTTTTTACTAATGGGAATAACAATGAGGGTATGGTTCTTTTGTTTAAACTAGGTTCAACAAAGTACATTTTTCTTAGATGACGAAATAAAATAAATAAAATAATGATATAGTTATGGTGTGACACGAGCAGAGGCATAATCAGGCACCTATAGAGTCCTGGCACCCATGCCAGAGAAACTTCAACTGAAGAACAAAGAAAATAATGAGACTACATTCTATTCCATCATTCATGAAGAAACAAATTGAATCTACCTACTATATTTTAGCCATAAGAGAAAAAGGCTTTGGGAGACTTTGGAGTTGTGCCACGCATGGCAACTTTTTCTCTTAACATTAACAGTGGACATTTCTCTGAATTTGGATCCTTGCATCGCCAGAAAGGCTATGTATCAGAGGCATAATACTGTAGCACAGATTTGGAATCCCAAAATTTACTGAAGTTTAAAAAAAATGTTTAGGGAAATAGGCTGTCAAAACTAAAAGACACCATAGTTGCATTTGTTGCAAGTTCTGTTTGGTTTCTGGGTTGGTATATGTGTGTGATTTAATCTTGTTAATGCAGTTTAAACAGCTGAAACTGCATCTTCATTCATGGTACTTTTTAACCCAATACCCTAATGAGTAGAAGAAAGGAAATATTTATTTGCTTCCTTTGTACAGGAAGCTTAAAGGCTTATCTCAACTATAGCATATGTTCCTAAAAAAAAGAAAAGAAAGAAACTTCTCACCAAAGAAGTCAAGAAAAGAGGTGGGACTATCACTACAAAGTCCACATTGGCAGCTTTTTCCTTTGTTTTGGCATAGATGAGAGCAAAAGCTTTCCTCAAACAGATACGTTGGCTAGCTGTGGATGATGGAAGCATCCTGGAAATACCAGGATAAGAAAGTCCAGAGGACTTAAGTAGATGAATCGTGATTCACTTGATGCATTAGATTTACTTGTTCCCATAAAATGATAGAAGTTTTACTCTAAGGCAGTGGTGGCGAACCTATGGCACGTGTGCCAGAGGCGGCACTCGGAGCCCTCTCTGTGGGCACGAGTGCCATGCCCCGGAAATGGCAACCGTCCTCTTCAACCAGCTGCCCGCTAACTCGCCGAGGTGGGTTTTGGGTTGAAGTTTGGGCACTTGGTCTCTAAAAGGTTCGCCATCACTGCTCTAAGGGGTAGTAGAAAGAGACATCAAGCCTTCTTCTCCCATACCTCTCGTCTCCACCCCAATATCTCCAAACCTTCCTTCCAACTCCAATGTTCATAGTGTTTGACTGAGCACTATGTGCATGCAGGATTTTGAATTATTTTAATAAAGGCATGGCTGCCTTCTTCATTTTCAAGCCTCCCGGAAATGTCTTGACTTCACCCTCTGCGATTGGATTGGCAAGCAGTTTTGAGAATTGATCCAACACATTTGGAAGGCACCAAGCTGGAAAGGTCTCTAATATGGAGTAGCTTAAAGATCATTTAGAATGGAGAGACACAAAAGTTTCTTAAACATTCCAGAAAAGAAATGCCTAAAAACCTTCCATTGCAACTTGAGTTTATACAACTTACTAAAGTTTAAATTTGGATCCACAAAATATAATTCCTATGTTCCCTTAATATTCTTGATCCAAGAAAAAAAAATTGGTTGGTCCCACAACATGCTGAATCACAAACTATCCAAACACTTTAGCCCAATCTAAGATGTTGTATAACTACAGAGTTGTATAACACTGGTTTGCCCCAAAGGGGGACTTTAAGTCTTCACGTTATTGGGGAGAAATAAATTGGATGGATAAAGTGTTCTGGATGCTTTTGAGAATGGATTTCATTTGCTTATTCCTGATCTAGTTCCTCTGCCTTTTTGTTTTTTTATTAAAAGAATTTTTCTACAGGTACACGCAGAAAAGGTATCTATATTTATCACCCTGTTACATCCAGATCACCCCATAAGTACACCTGATGAATTATTCAATACTTCATGTGCATTTTTCCCTCCTTTCTTCACAAATCCAGCAAAATACGTGGAAGGAATGTAGGAAATATGTTTAAGAGCTGGACATTTAAAAAAAAACATAGGATGCGAAGGAAAAAGGAAAGTTGCATCATTGGAACAAATGGATCGATGGACAAGAGTCCATGTGCTTTGGGGGTCAAAAAGAGAAGCAATTTGTAGTCAGAAGGTACTGAGATGTGTTGGGGTGGATTGGAGAATTACTAACCCATCGTTTCCTTGAAAAAAAATAATTTTTTTTGTTAAAGATACCAGGAGTGAAGGAGGGAAGATTTGGAGCATGAGTCAAATCGTGGATGCTACATGACACATTCATTAGAGAATAAGAGAGTTTTGTCTGGCAGAGAAAAGAAAAGCTGAAGGAGGGAAGGGACCATTTATACTTGTCAGAGTCAACACATTCTTTAGATTTCCTCCAAGAGACTAGTACCAGGGGTGGATGATTTGGGCAGGCATTGTACCTTGACTGAGCCAAGCTCGCTCAGGCATTGTACCTTGACTGAGCCAAGCTCGCTCAGTCAAGGTACAATGAAGGAGAAGGAGGAGAAAGGCCTATAAGAGACCCCCCCCAGCAGTATTCCAGGATAAATTTGAATCAGCTTTTGCCTTTAGGTTAATCCCATGTTTGGAAATTTTCCAGAGTGAGTCTCACAGTCCCTCTATTCTTCTATTGTATCTGTAGAAAGTTCAGATGCAGTACCCTAGATGCCCCAGGGCACTTTCGGTTGCAGGCCCTTCTACTGTATACAATTGGTGCGAAACACCGACAGGCCTTTTCCATAAAGCTGTCATTTTCTTCGGTTTCTGACAGCTGAGGCATTTTTGGTGCAGGAGAAGCCTTTTTTTGGCTTTCATGTCAGCTTGCTGTCAGGATGGAATGATGCCCTTAGCGGCACTTAGCTCCTCCAGAAGCCTTTTGACCTGCAATCCAATTGAGAGTTGCTGCATTTTACAACTTTGCCTTAGGAAATGAAATCTGAATGGAAAGAGGATGCTTGCTGAAAGCAGGGGGGGGGAGAGAGAGTGAGAAGGAGGGTATCTGTTCATTTGCGAAGAAATTTGTGGGGTTTTCCTGAACCCAATGTGACTCCTACTTGAAGAGCAGGTGGCAGGCTTGGGTAAGATGGCCTTTGTACAGCTCTATGTTGCGGGGCAATTTATCCCATTCCTAGACTGGGAAGCAGTGCTTAAGGTCATCACGCCTTGTTCACCTCCCTGATTGGACTTGAGTACTGCAAAGAGGTTTACACGGGGCTGACTTTGAAGAGTATTCAGAATCTTCAGTTGGTGCAAAATACACCGTTGTTCGGTACGTGTAACACCTCTGCTCCGTGAGATGTACTGGCTGCCACTCTGCTTCTGGGTTCAATATGTGGTATTGGCAGTTAACTTTAAAGCCATTCATGGATTGGGCCTGTGTTACTTGAAAGGATCATCTCTCCCCAACTGTATCTGTCCATCCTGTTAGATCCAATAGGAGAGGTATGTTCCGGAGCTCATCCATTAGGGACTGTCATGTTGCAGGATCCAGGAAAACCTGTTGTGGTGCCTGCCCTCTGGCACAGCATTTCCCCATTCCCCCATAATTGTCTCGACACCAGTGAGATTTGGTATGGACTTGATTTTGTCATTGAGCCTGGAAGCCTGGATGTAAATTCGAACAGTTGCTAAACAGCCAGTCATAAGTTGAGGACTATCTGTATCTTGTTTCTCAGCATTATTAGCTGCCCAAAGTCATGTGTTTTGGTTTAAGACTTTTATTTTGTCCCAAATTCTTGAGAACAAATGTAAGTCTGACGGAAAACTCATGTATCGTAAGCCTGCTATAGTTACTCCAAAATGGGCTCTGCATTGGTTTCCTATCCTTACCTGTTCACATTGTGGAGCAGCTGTCCATAAATTGACACCTTCTAGGTCAGTGGTTCTCAACCTGTGGGTTGGGACCCCATTTGGGGTCGATCGACCATTTCACGGGGGTCGCCAAGCAAGGCTTTCCGCCATTTTTTTTGTCCGCCATTTTTTTTTGTCCGCCATTTTTTTTCCCTTTTCCGGCGGGTGCCTTACCTCCCTTGGGCTGGGCCAGCTGGTGGTCGGCCTGCTTCGTCTCTGCCGCTTGCCAGCTATGCCTCGGCCGGCGCAGGGGGCAGAACCACGCATGCGCGGCGCTCCTGGGCAGGGAAAGTCCTCGACTTACGACCGGTTGGGTAGTTCTCGACTTACAACTGGTTTAATCCTCGACTTACGACCGGTTTAGTCCTCGACTTACGACCGGTTGGGGTCGCAGCATTAAAAAGGTTGAGAACCACTGTTCTAGGTGTATTTGGTTTCCAAATTCTGTTTCCCCCGCTTTCACAGTCAATGGTTGTATTGACTGACAGAGATTAAAATGAAGGGCATGTCAGGAAGTATTGCCAAGTATTGCGTGTAAAAGCAATGAAAGAGTGAAATTTCACTAGCTTGGAGCTCTTAGTGAGAAGCAGGAAACACAAGGCTTGGAGACTTCCAGTTTATGGCCAGCTGGCATCCAAGTACAGATAACCTTCTCTTCTGTTTTGGTTTCCAGATATATTGAACTTCAACTTTCATAACCACAATGGAAACCTCATATACTTTTTTTAAAAATTTTAATAATTTTTTATTTTTTAAACCAACAAAACCAAACAAAACATAACACACATACACACACAGTGTATACTCCTCCCTTTTTTTTTTACAGCAATTTCGTAACTGTAATCTTCTATTATTTACATTTTCCTCCCTTATTCTTCTTTAGAATATTTGTCCTTGTTGTCCAATTGTTTTTATTATACATACATTTTCCACTTTTGACCTTTCCACATTTATTCTCCTTTATTATTTCTAATCTCCAACCAGTCATACCTCATATACCTCATATACTTTATCTGTAATACAAATTTTGCATAAGGATGCTTTAAGGCTTTTGGCTATATTCTATAAAGCAATCATAAGATTAAGATCAAGACTAAGGAGGAAATCCCGCCCTGAGTCCTACGAGGAGAAGGGCGGGATATAAATCTAAATAATAAATAAATAAATAAATAAATAAATTGGTGTTAGCTGGAGGATCTTGCCCAAAATAGCATATGTTTGTCATGGTCTTTTCTTCTTTCCTTATAATATAAAGCATCAGTTTTATCTGTACTTAATAGCATTGTGTGCCACAAAGTTCCCTTTTTATCAGTAAAGGCAAGTGATGTCCAATGTCCCTTAATATTTTTGGTTTAATGTCCCACCTAGTCCAACCCCCTGCTCAGGCAGGAAACCCTATACCCTTTCAGACAAATAGCTGTCCAGTCTCTTCTTAAAAACTTCCAGTGTTGGAGCATTCACAGCTTCTGGAGGCAGGTTGTTCCACTGATTAATTGTTCTATCAGGAAATTTCTCCTTAGTTCTAGGTTATTTTCCATCTGTTGCTTCTTGTCCTGTCTTCAGGCGCCTTGGAAAATAGCTTCACTCCCTCTTCTTTGTGGCAGCCCCTGAGACATTGGAACACTGCTATCATGTCCCCTGTTAAGTCCGGAGAATAATGGCGCTTGAGACGAAGCATCACTAACAAGTCTTTATTGTTTGCTTCCATTCTACGAACAACCAGAGCAGAGGCACGCAGGCCTCTATTTATACCCTCTGATCCCCGGGCAAGTTCAACCAATCATGAGGCGGGCTTTTCCCGCCTTGCGCATGCGCACAAGGCCGGCGCCGCTCAGTCTGGTCCCGGGCAGCTTCTGCAAATGCCCGGGACTCTTGCAAC